TAAAAATGGTAAAAGTTCAACACGGAAGAAACCCAAAGGCAAACAGACTGAAGTGATACAGAAGTGGGCAATCTCACTTAAGAATGTTGATTTAGAAGCACCTGACTGGCTCAGTTGGAAGAGCATGTGAATCTTGATTTTGATGTCTTGATTTTGAACCCCACATTGGGTATAGAGATTACTTAAAAAATATATTTTTTAAAAAGAATGTTGATTCAAAATCTTAATTAAGATATTATCAAACCCTACCTACTATATATTTAAAAGCTTTGTTTATAGCTTATGACTTAGGGTTTATTTCAGGAATGCAAGGATATTCCAATATAAGAAAATCTAATAATGCAAAACTCCATATTAAGAGATTAAAGATAAAAAGCCATACATTCATTTAAATAGAGACATAATAAAGCTCTTGAGAATATTCAGCATGTGATTAAAATCTTAGAAAACTAGGAATTGAAGAAAATATCCTTAACTTGAAGAATACCTATCAAAAACTTCCAGAACCACCCAAGCAATCTACAGATTCAATGCAATCCCTATCAAAATCCCAGTGACTTGTTTTGCGGAAATAGAAAAAAGCCCATTCTAAAATTCATACAAAGTAGCAAGAAACTTCAAATAACCAAAACAATCTTGAACAAGAAGAACAAAGAACAAACCTCCTTCAATTTCCTTAATGTTCCATTCTGGCTCTCACCTCCAAGCATTGGTACTGAGGTTCTAGAACACCACTCCAGCCTCTTCTTGACCCATTCCTACCCTTTAGGAGTCATCTTCAATAATGTCTTGGAAAAGTACTGACCCACCCTTCTCATTGCCTAGTGGTCCCCACCTTTGTATCAGTTAGCATATTGTACTGAAATACTCTGTTTACTTTCCTATGTCCTCTCCTATCCTGTAAGCTCCCTGAGAACAAGAACTGTGTTCATCACGTTCACCATTTCTTTCTCCAGCATCAATCAGGCATTGGTGTCAGGTATACAGTAGTGTCTGATAATTTTTAAAATACAGATGTTGAAGTTAAATCCTAAGCCATGAAGCACAGAAATCCAAAATGTATAGCCTTAGAAGATAAATTAGCTAATGTTCTAAAGTTGACCTTATTGCCTTTGAATATAAAATAAGTTGAAGATATTTGGAGCAAGGGCAGTGGCAGCCTTGATTAATGCCTTTAGTGTTCACTAGGCATACTTTCCTACCAACTACTATCAAGGTCACATTTGTTTACACATTCTTATTAATCCTGAGAAAAAGATTCCTGACTTGAAAGAGCTACTTCTAAGGTATGGTAAAACTCTAAGATTCTTCAAAGCAACTTGAAAGTCACAAAGCTAACAAGCAAGAAATAACTTGGGTTTGTCTAAAAGGGTGCAGAAATTACTTAGGCCTCTGAGCGTCGCTGTTGACCACCTAAGAAGTAAAAGGCTGCAACACATCCAGTCCAACATTCCAGCTCCCACAACAAAAGGACTGGGTATTTAGCCCCCAAGCTTCCGGGCGGAAAAAAAAAAAAAAAAAAAAAAAAAAAAAATGCAGCAGCCCAAATTTCTCTCTACAGTGACTTGGGTCCTGTGAATGCTGATCCCCACAGACCCTGAGGAATACAGAGGAATAAAACTGGATTCTGGAAGTTGCCTGGGAGAAAAGATTGCAGCAGAAGAAATGGCGGCTCTGCAAAAGTTATCACAACGCGGAAGGCTTGATCGGCTGTATTTTCTTTTGGTGGTTTTGTGCGAGGCCGGAGCTGGACAGATGCACTATTCTGTGCC